GGGGGGGGGGGGGGGGGGGGGGGGGGGGGGGGGGGAAGTAGAGATACGCTGAAGAATGGGGAAATGGACACTGGCCTGTGCATACGATCAAGTTCAAAGTAGTTACAGCAGACTTTTCTCTTAATGTCATGTTAGAACCTTTGGTTTTAGCACTGCTCAGTTCAACAGTAGAGGTTATCTTGCTATCCCAATAAGGTTTCTTCTAGACATACAACCTAATTATTAAAGCTACTGTTTTATCCACTGCTGATCATTATAATTCCTAGCAGATATGTAAAAAGTTACAACCATTTGAGAATGCACTGTAAGGAGATGTATGCTATTATTTGTTTACCACTGGGTTTAGGGTGCACTTGTAATGAACCACATAGTACAGTGCAGATGCATCTAGACTTTGTGCTGCTGATGTGGAGCAGCTGTGCTTGTTAGCAAAGCGAGCACCATGTGAGGGCGATTGCTCTGGGATGTGAGGAGTTCAGAGCTCACTTGAGCGTGTTTGTGGAGCGTGAGATTAGGCAGAGTCTAGACAGACGACCAGACAGGCATTCCTTGGCCTTTGGTAGCACAGAGTGCAAGGGGGATATAAAGAAATGAAGCATTGCTGGAAAATGAGGAAAGGCATTAATTTTGCAGTATTTTTTTTAAATTTCTTTTGCTGTGGTAAGTTGGAACTTCTGTGTCTGTCATAGCAGGAGTCCTAGGAGGCAGAAAGATGAGAAGCTGCCCTTGTGGTTCTGTCCTGTGCTGTTCTGCCCTGTCCTGTTCTTTTCTTGCACACTAAGCTTCATATTAAAGGCAATTTGAAGTACAGGTTTGGTAGTGGTATCATCTTGGAGATGTGCCCTGTTTTTAAACCAGAGTAACAAAATTTTGTCTTTGTGCCGAGTCAGCCAGTTTGATCCTTCATACTGACAGCTGTAAGGTTAAAGAGCAACCCATACTTAGATGGTCCTTGGTCATAGCGGGATTTCATGCTAGTCTTGAGTTTGCCATCAGGAAAGGAATGTCTAAATCTCTGTCTAAATACTATTTTTGGAAATCTGCATAGAGTATTGGCTCCTACTGCCTGTGCCAGCATGTTATTGACATTGTTAAAATTTAATATAGATGTGAAAAATACAGCTTTTTTGCTGTACACATAGGTACAGTCTCTTTGAAAGACTTTGGTGCTTTACGGGTTTTATCCATTTTTTAAAAGATGGTATTTATCAGTTTCATAAGATTTTCTCATTGTTCTCCCTTCTCTGCTCCTAACATAAAAATTTTAATGCCTTCGTGCATCTTGTCTTGAATTGCCTTTAGAAATTAGTGCCACAGGTTAGCCACAAGAATTGGTAGGCCATTTTGATGGAAGAGAAGGAGGAAGGGCTGGATACGCTGTAACTGCCTTTTTGTATTTGGTTATGTAAGAACGTTATTATAAAATACGCAAAGTAAAATACATTACCAGGAGCAATTACCTTTCTTACTGGCATACAACATCTTTCACTGAAGTAATTCTCAAGAGGACCTTTTTTGTATTGCAAAGTTTTCCATAAGTATTTATAGAAATGACATGAATTTACCTACCGCATGTTTGCAACATGTATAAATGAATTTAAAGATCACTGAAATGTCAGCTGAGTCAGGTGTTGCAGTGTCTGTTCACTGCAATGAAAATAATGTTTATTTATTGAAAGCTATTGGAAAGTAAATTATCCAGATATTTCTACTACATGTAAAATTTAGTGAGAATTTAATTCACTTATTTTAACTTCTTAGTAGTTCTGATATAAATGCATGTTTCATAGGGAAATAAAGGTTTAGTAGATTGTGTTGCACTGAGAGAAGTAGAACTCTTCCAGAACCTGGTTCCCAATTCAGAATGCCTATTGGAGGGCTTCCTCCCCCATTCTCACCCCAAGGTGGCCATTGCAATCTCCTCCAAATTCCTGTCACCAAGTCTTGGACAGCAGTCTGAAAAGTCAGTCTGAACTGCCTGTCTCTTTTCCCCTTGAACGAAGAGGATGGCTCTCATTACCTTTTAATTGTTCCTAAACGTGAAGTCCATAGCAAGCTGAAATTTACCATCTCAGCATAATTTTCCCATCTGTTTTCAAAGCTTTCCTTCCTTTCACTGCAAAATCTGGCAATCAAATTCAGATCAAGCATTTGTTAAATCCAAATTCAGTTCTGGGGAACAAATTTGCTGTCTGCTGATCTGAATCAGAAGTTTTAAAAAAGCATACAGCCAGAGTCCAAGAAGATATTTACAGCTGAACTAAGATAAATTCAGGATTGAAAATCCAGCTGGTAGGTAAACATGGGATTCAGTCCTGAGACCACTTGTTTGGGTCTTCAACCTGCATCAGTCCAGCACTGTTGACTTTTCTTGTTTTGTAGCTCTGTATAGTAGAAGCCATGGATTTGCCTAGCTTGGTGGAGTCCTGTACTAAAAATACTCTTGCCAAGATTATAGAACTCTGCTTACCTTAATGATGCTACAATTGTCATTGTACATGGCTGAGCACATTTGTTGTGGAAATCTTCCCTTTGCTTGAAATAGTAGATCAGTTTCTTCTTCCTCAGCTACAGACGCACAAACTCGATGACCTCCTTAATTACATTATAGATGTTTCTCCATGCCTAGCTTTCTTAACAAATCTTAAAGAACAATTTCTGAAGCATTCATCTTGTTTTGCAAGATGCGAATCCTTGCAGGCCATGCTGCAGTGAAATGATGTCTGAGGCTAAACTGGTTTAAGTCATAAGTGAGCTGTAGAGAAAAGGATGACAGTGCCTAAGATGCTATTCAGGGGAAATAAAGGGAGAATAAGATAAAGCCAGATATAGAAATCTAAGAATAATTAGCTGCTCTAAGAATAATGGCATTAGGAAACAGGATGGTTTCCTCCTACGTGGTGTCAGGATTTGTTAAGGAGCGAGCAGGCACCAGCTTGATTGATATTTTGGCTACAGTCTTGCTAGCCAGCAGGTACAGCATGTAAGATTAATAGAGTTTGCTTCAGGCTGGATTGTGCAGTGAGCCCTTGTGCTTTTGCCCTGGATGTCCAGCACTCCGTCTACACACAGTATAAAGAGCACCTTGCCCACAGTAGTCACAGGGAGATGGAGGTGGTGCCTGCTCATGGGATTCGTGTCATTCCACCCACAACTTGTGAGGGATGAACTAAGCCTGGGGCTGGAGGCACTCTGGCTTATTTCAGACAGTGGCCTTTCATCAGTTGGTACGTACTAGCCAGCACGTGACTCCGGTTTGTCACGTTTGTCACCTAACTTGCTCACTGCGCTGTGAGAGAGGGCAGGGACATAAGTTTGATGGCCTGTCTCTTCTTTTGTGGGTCACATGCAGGGCTGGTGTTTTCATCACTTGGGAAGAAGGAACTCTTGGCCCATCCTCAGACCTGCACAGGGACAGCAGAGGACAAAGTTTAGCCCTGAAAAACAGAAGTTAGACAGTATTTTAAATGCATATATGCAAAATAATTTTCATTAAGAAACACACTATTCAAATATTCAGTTGAATTACATTCAGTAACTTCCAAGGAATCCATAACATTTTGACTGCCCTCCTTCCAAATGGTTTCTTGTAAGTAAAAGGGTTTTTTGGGTGTTACAAGGTGATTTTGTTTAAAATACTGGTAGCTGCACCTAGTAATAATAATGAAAAATACTTCTGATTTTAATGGATTTTTTAATCTTTTTTTTTTTAAGTGGTCAGTTTTTATGACTTTACAATATGCTTATAAGAATGATTCCTGGGAAAGAAGAGATCAGGAAACACAGTGCACAGCAAATTTTGAATACACAATCTGCAATAAGGAAGTAGAAATCAATGTTGCTTTTTACTTACAATAATCCAAATATCTAGGGTGACTTAAAACTCAGAGTGTCCTGAATACGGGAAGATTACTAGATATAATTATCTCACTCTTATGTAACGCAAAATAAAAGTTTCAGTCAAGTACTGAGCTTTTCCTTCTGCCTACAGATTGAAATATTTCTCTTTGCATATCCCTATGCATAAAGCATTAGAAATTGACTATCATCTTAGATAATTTCAGAATATCTCATGTATTATATGAGCACATACAGTTCTCATTTGGGGGGG